CCATAATCTATTCTGTGCACATTCAATCTCTTAATCTACTATTTTGTGCATGCTTTCAATCCCTTAATTTCCTATTCTATGCATGATTTCAATCCAATAATCTCCAATTCTGTGCACATCTTCAATCCCCTAATCTCCTAGTCTGTGCATGTTTTCACCCCCATAATCTCCTCCTATTCTGTGCATGTTGTCAATCCCGTAATCTCCCATTTTGTATATGTCTTCAATCCCATAATCTCCTACTCTGTACAGTCTCAATCCCATAATCTATTGTGTGCACATCTTCAATCCCATAATCTCCTATTCTATGCACTTCTTCAAACCCCTAATCTTTTATTCTGTGCATGTCTTCAATCTTAAAATTTTATAATATGTGCACATCTTCAATCTCCTATACTGAGCATGTTTTCAATCCCATAATTTCCTGCTATCAGTGCATGTGTTCAATCCCCTAATATCCTAAGATGTGCAGGTCTTCAATCTATAACCTAATATGTGCATGTCTTTAATCCCCTAGTAACCTATTCTGTGAAAGTCTTCAATCCCATAATCTATTCTGTGCACATATACCATCCCCTAATAACCTATTGTGTGCCTGTATTTAATCACATAATCTCTTTCTACTTTGTGCATGTCTTCAAACTACTAATCTATTCTGTGCACGGCTTCAATCCCCTAATCTATACTGTCCATTTTTTAAACCCCTAATCTTATATTTTGTGCAAATCTTCAATCCTATAATCTCCTATTCTGTGCACATCTTCAATTCCATAATCTCCTACTATGTATACTTCTTCAATCCCCTAATCTTCTATTTTGCAGATGTCTTCAAATCCATAATCTCTTATTATGTGCTCGTCTTCAATACCCTAATATCCTACTCAATGTACATCTCCAATTCCATAATCTCCTATTCTGTGCATGTCTACAAGCCCATAATCTCCTATTATATGCACAACTTCAATCCCATAATCTCCTACTCTGTGCACATTTTCAATCCTATAATATCCTTCTATTCTGTGCATGTCTTCAATGCCCTAATCTCCAATTCTCTACACATCTTAAATCCTATAATCCCCTATTAAGTGCACATCTTCAATCCTATAATTTCCTATTCTGTTTAGTCTCAATCCCACATCTTTAATCAACTAATCTCCAATTCTGTCCATGACTTCAAACTCATAATCTCCTATTCAGTGAACTTTTACAATTCCATAATCTCCTATTCTGTGCAAGTCTTCAATCCCTTAAACTCCTATTCTGTGCATGTATTCAATCCCCTAATCTATTCTGTGCTCGTTTTTAATCCCATAATCTCCTCATATTTTGTGCACGGCATCAGTCCACTAATCTATTCAGTCCCCGTCTTCAATCCCATAATCTTTAATTCTGTGCACACCTTCAATCCCATAATCTACGATTCTGTGCACATCTTCAATCTCTTAATCTCCTATTTTGTACATGCCTTCAATTATTTAATTTCCTATTCTGTGCATGACTCCAACCCAATAATCTCCAATTCAGTGCATATATTCAATCCCCAAATCTCCTATTCTGTGCATGTTTTTACCCCCATAATCTCTTCCTATTCTGTGCATGTCTTCAATCTCCTAATCTATTCTGTACACATCTTCAAATCCAATAATCTCCTATTCTGTGCATGCCTTCAATCCAAAAATCTCCTATTCTGTAACATCGTCAACCATCTAATCTATTCTGTGCAATTCTTTAATCCCCTAATTTCCTATTCTGTGCATGTCTTCAATCCCATAATCTCCTATTCTGTGCTGAATTCAAGCCAATAATCTCCTATTCTGTGCACATCTTCATCCCCCTAATCTCCTATACTTTACACATTTTCAATCACATAATCTCATATTCTGGGCACATCTTCAATTCCCTAACATACTCTGTACATGTCGTCGATCCCATAATCTCCTAATCTGTTCACGTCTTCAATCTCATAATCTCCTACCATGTGCACTTCCTCAATTCCCTAATTTTCTATTATGCTTGACTTCAATCCCATAATCACCTGTAATGTGCATATCTTCAATCCCCTAATCTCCTATTCTGTGTACGCTTTAAAACCCATAATCCCCTCCTATTCTGTGCACATCTTCAATCCCATAATCTCCTATTCTGTGTTGTCTTAAACCAATATTCTCATACTCTGCACATGTCTTCAATCCCCTAATTTCCTATTTTGTACACGTCTTCAATTCCATTATCTCCTGTACAGTCTCAATCCCTTAATCTCCTATTATGTGCATGTCTTCAATTATGCAATCTCATATTCTGTGCATGTCTTCAATCACCTAATCTATTCTGTGCACATCTTTAATACCCTAATCTCTTAATCTGTGCACATCTTCAATCCCATAATCTTTCATTCTGTACACGCCTGCAATTCCATAATTTCATACTCTGTGCACGTTTTCAATTATATAATCTATTCTGTGCATGTCTTCAATCCCCTAATCTCCTATTCTGTACATGTCTTCAATTCCATAATCTCCTATTATGTACAGTCTCATCCCTGAATCTCTTATTATGTGCACATCCTCAAACCCCTAATCTCCTATTCTGTTCACGTGTTCAATCCCATAATCTCATATTCTGTGCAGTCTTCAAGCCCATAATCTCCTAATCTGTGCAGTCTCAATCCCATAATCTATTATGTGATGTCTTTAATGTCCTAATCTCCTATTCTATGCACGTCTTCACCCCATAATCTCCTATTATGCATACATCTTCAATCCCCTAATAACGTAGTCTGTGCATGTCTTCAAACTCATAGTCTTCTAATCTGTGCAAGTTCAAACCCGTAATCTCCTGTTGTGCACACATCTTCAATCCCACAATCTTATGTTCTGTGCAGTTCTTCAATCTCCTAATCTCCTATTCTGTGCACGTCTTCAATCTCATAACATCCTGTTTTGTGCACTTCTGCAATACCCTAATCTCCTAATTTGTTCATGCTTCAATCACATAAATCCCTATTCTGTGCACATCTTCAATCCTTGAATCTCCTATTCTGTGTACGTCTAAAATTCCATAATCTATTCTGTGAAGTCTCAATCCTATAATATCCTATTATGTGCATGGCTTCAATCCCCTAATATCCTATTCTGTGAATATCTTCAATTACATAATCTATTCTGTGCACATCTTCAATCCCCTAATCTTTAATTCTGTCCATGTCTTCAATCCTGTAATCTCCTATTCTGTGCATGTCTACAATCCCATAATCTCATAATCTTTGCACATCTTCAATCACATAATCTCCTATTCTGTGCACATCTTTAATCCCATACTCTATTTTGTGCATATTCTTTAATCCCATAATCTTCTATTCTGTGCACATCTTCAACCAGTTAATCTCCTATTATGTGCACATCTTCAATCTTCTAATCTCCTATACTGTGCACATTTTCAATCAATAATCTCCTCATATACTGTGCATGTCTCCATCCTCTAATCTATTCTGCACATGTCTTCAATCCCCTAATCTCCTATTTAGTTCACATCCTCAATCCCATAATCTCCTATTCTATGCAGGTCTTCAATAACATAATATCTTATTCTTTGCATGCCTTCAATATCATAATCTATTGTGCGCACATCTTTAAACCTCTAATCTTTTATTTGGTTCACATTATCAATCCCATAATCTCCTATTCTGTGCCATCTTCAAATCCATAATCTCCTATACTGTGCATATCATCAATCCCCTAAACTCCTATTCTGTGCTCATCTTCAATTTCATAATCTCCTATTCTGTGCTTGTGTGCAATCCCATCATCTTTTATTCTGTGCACGTCTTCAATCCCATAATCTCCTATTCTGTGCACGTGTTCAATCCTATAATCTCCCATTCTGTGCACGTCTTCAATCCCCTAATCTCCTATTCTGTGCACATCTTCAATTTCATAATCTCCTATTCTGTGCTTGTCTGCAATCCCATAATCTTTATTTTGTGCATGTCTTCAATCCCATATTCTCCTATTTTGGGCATGTCTTCAATCCCCTAATCTCCTATTCTGTGCATGTCTTCAATCCCCTAATCTCCTATTCTGTGCACGTTTTCAATCCCATAATCTCTTCATATTCTGTGTACCTCTTCAATGCCCTAATCTATTCTGTGCACGTCTTCAAGCCCATAATCTCCTCCTATTCGGTGCATGTCTTCAATCCCCTAAACTCCTATTCTGTGCACGTGTTCAATCCCATAATCTCCTATTATGTGCATTTCTTCATTCCCTAACCTCCTATTCTCTGCACATTTTCAATCCCTTAATCTCCTTCTATTATGTTCCCATCTTCAAACCCCTAATCTTTTATTCTGTGCAGTTCTCAAACCCATAATCTCATATTCTGTACATGTCTTCAATACCCATATCTCCTATTCTGTGCATGTGTTCAATTCCATAATCTACTTTGTGCATGTGTTCAATCCCATAATCTATTCTGTGCATGTCTTCATTTCCTTAATCTCCTATTCTGCGCACATCTTCAATCCCATAATCCCCTAGTCTGTTCATGTCTTTTCCCTTTCCATAGCTTTTCTGGTTCTGAGACCATGGACTCAAAGAGCAAGAATGCAGTCTCTTTCTTGAGAAGATAGAGTGCCTTCTTTCTCTCCTAATCTGAGGTGCGCGATGGCCAGGAGGAGGCAGAAGCATAAGAATGACACAGTGTGTTGGGTTCCATGCACATCCCAGGCCATCAGCAAGAACCCAACACTGAGGTTCTGTGACAGGCAGTCAGCAGTACCATGCTCACCGACAAGGGATGATTCTGAACAGTGCCCAGACTCTTTGCAGGCCTCTTTCATGCCCACTGCCCCAGCGCCTAGTGACCAACATTAAGCATGCTGTAGACACTCAGCCAAGCAGCACCCCAAGATCCTGATAGGCACCCAAGAGAATGTAACCCCTCTAGACAGAGAGAAAGGAAAGGGGTGGAGAGTCCAGAGGCGTGTGCTTTGCTTGTCTTACCTCCTTTCCAAAGCAGGTAGATGGGGACCACATAGAGCATAACATGCTGAATGTAGTAAATCTCCAGTTCAAAGGGGAGCTGTGTGGAGAAGACAGAGAGACATTCAGAACAGACGGTGCATTAGACTCTGCTAGACACCCTTAGCCTTCAGGACCCACAAGGTGGCAATTGTGACATTTCATCCTTTCACCTCCTGTCACAATTCAAAAAAAAAAAGGACAAAACGATTGAACTTTCTCATCTCATCTTGGCATATTTCAAGCTGTATTTTACAGAGATGGTAAAAGGAAAACTCTACCAGGAAAAGTGTATTCAAATTGAATGGATGTCACGTGTAGCAACAAATCCACTCAGAGATGCACCATGAAGACCACTGGTGAAAAAGGAACTTCAGTGGTTTGTATCGTGCTTTCTGAAGTGTTTCCTTAGGAAAAATATATTTCTACCAGGCAGTAGTGGCACAGGGCTTTAAACCCAGCACTCGGGAGGCAGAGGTAGGAGGACCTCTATGAGTTCAAGGCTAGCCTGGTCTACAAAGCTATTTCTAGGTCAGCCATGGCCACCAAAAAACCCTGTCTGTCTGTCTCTCTGTGCTTCTCTCTCTCTCTCTATCTATCTATCTATCTATCTATCTATCTATCTATCTATCTATCTATATATATATATATTTAAAATAAATAAATTAAAATAATAATAATAATATTCTGTAGAATGCATTTGAAGAAACAACCTTATAGTTCCACACTTGGAAAGCAGATGGCAGAGAATTTAAAAGTTTTTTCCTCATTTGACAAGAACATTCAATGGAGGGTTTAAGAAACTCATATTCAAATGAAAAAAAAAAGAGAAACCCTAGGTGTGGTCAAGTCCAGCTCCAAGAATAATGCATTTCTCCATGGGAACCCTGGGTGTCTGTTGAGGGTTTACCCTATTTTAGAGTGAGTACTAAGGAGTGGGGCCAATTCTGATAGTTTTCCAGAAAGACCTTTGGCCTCCCCACGTCCAATACTCTCTCACCCATTTTCTGTCTCTCTCAAAACAGAAGTGCTGAGAGGATGAGAAAGAATATAAGGATATGCTTTATGAAAGCCTCAAATAATTAATTTTTAAAAGACCAAAATGGAAAAAAAAAGACAACACAAAATAAAACTCAGTGCTGTACTACTAACTCTGGAGAAAAAAAGAATTTTTCCAGGCGGTTCATCCGAGGCAAATTCTCAAGCCCTGGTGTGGGTGTGGATGTGCGTGTGGGTGTGTGTGTGCATGCGCACCCCCTCCCCACACACACACATTCACACAATACAGACACCAAGGCAGGCCCAGAAGACAAGAACTCCAGGGAAGGTGTCAGCTGCTTCCCTGCTCCCTTCAGTGCAAACACAGAATCAAGTCTGTGTGCTAATGAGAGGAAACAGTTATAGGAACCAAAGCACATGAGCCCAAGGTTGCCTTGTGCCAGGAGCTGAAACGAAGACTTGGCAGCATTCCCAGAATGGTAGCTGGGCCAACTATGGACCCTGGATACAGACAATGGGTCTTGACTACAGAATTCCACACTGAAGGAAAATTTCCCAGGGGCCGAGATTATACACAGCTACTACATTATGTTCACAGAGGAATGTCTAAACCCAGAAAAGGAGACAAGGTTCCAAACCAGTCTGCAGAACACACCACAGCTGGTTATGCCATCTGTCACACAGCATCACCAGCAGAAGGCTGGTACGGCGGCCTAAGAGACTCCGATGTGAACCTAATTGATATGGTTAAGAATGATTATAGTGGTTTTAATTTGGGTTATTATTTATGCTTTTCAAATATTTTTATACCATGATCTTTTCAATCTCTCACCTTTGATAGATAAGGAACCTAAGGCACAGAGGCAAATGGGGGGTTGGGTGGTAGGGGTAACAATTATTTCAATGAAGTCACCCAAAAACAGACAAGGAGTAAAGAATGTCAGGATGGTTTGACTCTCTGGGTAAAGTCACAACACTGACCATTCTCCAAAAGGAGCCTGAGATCAGGCTGCCATCCCATAGTATGAAGCACAAAACCAAATCAACGTTGTGTGTCTAACAGTCACTGTGAAATGCCATGCGATTCCACTGCTCCCTGTACCCATTTGCCCATGCCTCCTGCAGAGCCCTCTGAGAAAGCAAAGCATCCACCTGCATGTCCTGGCAGGCGGCTGAGCACACTGGCTTTAAGATATGCCATTCAAGCTTGCTATGTTTGTATTTGAGATTTGACTCTGTTACTCAACATGCCTATGTCTGTGGGCAAGTCACCTAACCACTCCACTCAATTTCCGGGATCAACTAAATAGAAAGAATTATGGTGTTCTAAGATGGATATATAATATATTATATATCTTATATACACTTATTATATTATATATTATACTTAGCAATATAGAATATATTATATATCCATCTTAGAACACCATAGGGCCAGGAACTACTATGACAGAAACATTTTGTAAACTATTAAGTATACTGCCTCAACTATCTCCGTTTTCCAGATAAGAAACTGGGGCACAGAAAAGAAAGATAACTTACAGCTCATTGTGGAGACAGGATTCAAATGCATGCAGGCTGACCTCAAATGCATAATCTCAGGCAGTATGCAGTCGGTCTTTACTAAGTATCTTTGGGGGGGCTGATTCCAAGATCCCACTACCACATTCCAAAATCTGAAGATGTTCAAGTCCCTAGCAAAAAAGTAATGCAGCCCTTGTGTATAAACATCTGCTTAGACATTTTAGGGTTAGGGGGGATTCTATTCCACTTTTTAATTTTCCTTTTATTTTATGTGTATGGGTGGTTTGTCTGCATGTATGTCTGTGTGCCAAGAGCATGCAGTACCCACAAAAGTCAGAGAGGTCATATGATCCCCTGGAACTGGAGTTATACGTGGTTTGAGCTCCATGTGGGTTCTGGGAATTGAACCTGAGTACTCTAGAAGAGCAAACAGTGCTCGTAGCCACTTAACTATCTCTCCAGACCCCTTTAATTAATAATCTGTTTATGTATTTTAGGTGTATATGTGTATGCCTGAGTTTATATATGCAGTGCCACAGATGCCAGGAGGGCACCAGGCTTCTAGAAAGAGAGTTACAAGTGGCTGTGAGTTGCCCAATGTGGGTCCTGGGAACTGAACCCAGGTCCTCTGAAAGAACAGGGTATACTCTTAACCACTGAGCCATCACTCTAGTACCTGCCTAGATATATTAGACCAGGCCTGGTCACATGGCCCCCAAGACAACTATGAATGCAGGACATACACACATGTGTAAATGACAATGTCATGTCACAATGTCAAAAGGTTGGATATCCCTGTTAAGTTATAGATGACTTATAATCCCTAATGTAAATGTAAAGGCTGAAAAAGAGTCCTCGTACTGTGCTGAGCAGAGAATAACAAAAGTCTGAATTTGTTTAGCATAGACTCGTGTTTCCAATACATGCAATCCAGTTGGTGAATCTGTGGGTGCAGAATCTATGGTCAACACACCTGTGGCTGAAGAACTCTAGTCTGCCCTGCTCAGTACCCCTCCAAAAGCCTGCCCCACAGAAGGTGCTGATGCAGAAGGCCACTATTCTCAACCAGAGTGGTAATAGTGGTAGCAAAGATGGGTTCCGTCATGGAACTAGAACATGTCCCTACTTGTCTCTCTACATGGTATGTGGCCCAGCCCCTTCCTGTTCAAATAATCCAGAGATAAGGAAGGACAGGTTGGGAAAAGAATAACTGTACGCAGGTAGGGTATATGCTTTGTGTTGGAGGAACTGACGATACCATACTATAGGAGACTTGGTATCACTAAAGGACTTGTGTGTAGGGCTGGCAAGATAGCTCGGCAGGTAAAATACTTGCTGTCCAAGTCTGATGACAAGACTTAAATCCTCAGATCCCATGGGGCAAGAACAGAACCAACTCCTGAAGACTGTCCTCTGACACAGCCCCCCCCCCACACCTCCTACCATCACACAGAAGAACAAATAATAATAACTTTATGATAAATAGTCCATATCTGATGTCAGGATGTTCCAAAACTTAATCTGTATCCTACCACCCTCCCCCATTTTTTGTTTTTCGAGACGGTTTCTCTGTGGACATCTATGGCTGTACTATAAACTCGCTCTGTAGACTAAGCTGGCTTTGAACTCAAAGAGATCAGCTTCCCTCTGCCTCCTGAGAGCTGGGAGCAAAGGTGTGTACCACTAGGTCTGGCAATCCACATCCTTTTAAATGGGAAAGGATACAGCCCACAGGTACAATTGCTCTTGGCATTATTCCTTCCAGCAACATTTGGCTTTGGAACAGTTCATCTTCACTAACTAATCACAGACTTTAAATAGCAAAGTGAGACCACAAATTCCTTTGAATTAAGTTCTACCTATTAGAGGAGTCACAAAAGGAAGGAAGGCCCACAACCTATATAACCATCAGTAAAGAGTTAAATAAGCCACAATACATTCAGGGAACATTAATATTAAGAAAACACAAAACATCAGGAATATGGACTGTTCTATAAAGTAACTATACACAGTCATACCATGAAGGGGGTGAGCTGTTCTTAGACTAAATAAGCAAATCAATAAAAATGAAAGAAATAGAATAATCAAACCAATACCTAAAATCTGACTAGACCAAGAAAGGGGGGAGTAGTGGAGAGGAAGGGAGGGAGGGAGGGAGAAAGGGAGGGAGGGAGGGAGGGAGGGAGGGAGGGAGGGAGGGAGAGAGGGAGAGAGAGAGAGAGAGAGAAAGCACGTATGTACACACACAAGTGGACATTTGCAGAGACTAGGGAAGGAATTTAGGAGTCTTTTTCTACGGCTATTCATCCTATTCCCTTGAGAAAGCCTCTGACTGAACATGGAGCACACCGGAATTTTGCTGTTATTTTGTTTTTGCTTCAATTCAGCTAGACAGCAAGCAGCAGCCCACAGCAATTCCCATCTCCTCACCACCACCACTGCATCCATGCACACCTGGCTGATAACTTGGGTACTGGAGAGCCTAGCCCAATCGCTCATGCTCCCATAGCAAGCACTCCTAACCGAGCCATTTCTTGC